TTGACGGAAGCTAACGACAGTAACCATTTTGATGTGTGGATGATAACCTTATGGATCATTAGTGTCACAAAAAAACATTAGAGATGAAATGTGATAATTTCACAAACCTCATGGACCATTTGTGATAAAAAGCCTAAATTCAATAGAGCCAGTTGTCATTTTTTGGGGGGTTTTTGGGTTTGTTTATAGAAATTCAATGGTGTAGGGTTTATTTATATTATTAGTGCTAAGAATGGGCATATGACTTGCATGGGTCGGGTGTTCAAAACAAGATAAAACATCATACTCAAAATCATTTTTATTCAACATGGGGACTTTGGTAATCTTACATCCGGTAGTACGAGTAATTATTCTTTATCTTTCTATTACAACTCATAATTGAATTGATGAACACGATAGACAAAATAACAACAATTAAGTAGAGGATATTGCAATCTATTGGACTCTCATTTGTTTAGTCCAAGCTTCTTTGCATCCGAGAGCCTTTTGGCAAAATCGACCAGTGCTTCTTCATAAGTACCCTCTCCCTCAACTTCCTCATACCTCCCTATATCCAAATTCACCCGTGACACTCGCTTCTTCAACAGCTCCTTCCCAATCTCCACAAGCCTATTTAGATTCTTCTCCGTCGCTATATCCACTGATACCTCATCACCGCTTAACGAGTCATCCTATGATTTTTGCAGCATTAGAAAACTATTAACATTGCTTACATAATGTTGTTATTTGGACCACATTTACTAATATACATATTTTATACATGTGAACCGCGTTAAAAAATGTACCTGAATGCGTAAGTAGTTGTCCTTGGCGTGGGTGGATTGGAAGAGGGTGGACACATGAATGTCAACCATATCAGAACTTGCATCATTAAAAACGTCCACCAAAGGTGTGCTCCCATTGTCATACATCCAACTGATCAAACCCCATTTGGAGGCCATGGCTGCATTGTACTTCCCTTCAAACTTGGCTGCACCTGTGCCCAATGACAGCACTAGCAATCTACTCGCGTCCATCGGCTCCGAATCATTCTTCAATATCTCTCTGTTTATGTGGCTTATGGCCATCATTGTCTGTACACAATTGTAGACTTAATTAATTCCTTATCGCTTTGACAGGCAGTCAGGCATGTAATATTGCATAACAGTTTATTGAGTAAAACATGTTAGATATCGGGTAAGAAAACGTTACAGAATACTTACAGGATTGTTTGCGGCAACCCCACCATCGATGAGATCAAAAGTTCGGGTCCTTCCCTCACTATCCTTGACATCGAAGTAGTGTGCTGGGAGAAAAGTAGGAGCAGCAGAGGTGCTTATGCAGATATCCGAAAGCTTGGCATTTTTCAGAGCATTTTCTTTCGCCTGTACCATAAATTTACAATCTTAGGATATTACATAATTAACTATAGCTACACATTATAAGTATTAACAATGCCAAATTGTACACGAAAGAGTAAAATTCCTTGGTGTTAGCTTACATCGGTGGTTGAGAAGATCACAGGCTGAAGGTGCTTGATATCAAAAGTTGGAATAATCACAGTGGTTAAAGTCTGCTTGAGATTGAGATCACCAAGCAACTCATTTACCAACGTACGCAAGTACTTCCCATCATATTTAGGCCCCATAACCGCACCAACCATACTTGATATTGATGTCAAGAAGTTGTTTCGACTGCATGCATCCACACAAATTAACATAAGAACATTGTTGTGAAATATTTTTTTCTTTTTTTTTTCAATATTACTCTAAAATATTGAAAGTACTTTAGATTGATACTCGGTACCAAACAATCGTTTTCTCTTAATTTAATAAGTTGTTTTAGATCACTGACCTATTTTGAGGGAAAATCTTAGGGGTGTTATCTAGATAGAATTTGTTGATGTCCTTGGCTTCATACATGGGTCGGTTGTCCTTGTTGGGAGCTGTAAGCATGGTGGTGACAAGACCACCGGTGCTTGTTCCGGCAATTATGTCGAAATAATCTGCAATTCTTGCATTTGGCCCATCCAATTCCTATCCCATGCACAGATCATAATTAACACTGAATTATAAGCAAATATAAAAGATGAAAGCAAGTATATATATATGATATAATTGGTGCATTTAGTAGGTACCTGAAGCTGGGATTCAAGGAAGGCCAAGAGGGTGCTGGGAATTATGCCTCTAATGCCACCTCCATCAATGCTTAGCACTGTCACCATCCTTCTCTTTGTCAAACCAGTCGACATTCTTCTGGTTCAAATTAAAGATAAACCTTGTTGAAATTGAGATTTCTTTTGGTAATATCAGTATATCAATTTGGTCGCTTAGATAGATGAATATAGTTGAGATTTATGAAGGCTGTGTGTGAAGCATACCAGATCAATTACGCTATTTATAGCAATAACCCAAATAGTATTTTAATTATTGATATATCTAGCAGCCATGGCCGCCATACTGACTGACGGACTTAACTAGGTAATCCTAGGCGGCTAGAACTGGTTTGGACCGTTTTGTCAAAGTCTTTTTTTTGTAATGCTCTTCATTAAGTTGCATGGGGATTAATTACAATTTCATAATTGATATGTCATGGAACTAGGATATAATGTTAATAACTAAATACATTTGTTATAATATGAATAGAGTGATAATACCTTTTGAATGTCACAGTGGCGGCTCTAACCCCTCGGATTTTTTATGCCTCCTACATTATATTTTATATAATATATACAATTAGTTATTATTTAAGTTAATGGCTCCTCTAAAATAAATTAAACATGATTAAGTTAGAAATATTTAGCTCTCATATGTAATTTTTGAATACTTAGATGTTTGATATACTTTTATTTTCTATTTCAACCCCCGACTCTACAATTTTAGCTCGGCCACCTCATGACCTTCGAAGCAAAGATGCTACGTTAGCTTCCAAAAGCCAGGGTCTAACTTGCCCTTATTATTGTGCAAGTTGGTCCTTGTTATTTTGGTCTTTTATGTACAAGTTGATGCGGGTGGAACATCATGCCATTGCCATAGCATTCATGAAGACTTACTTTAATCGCTTTTCAAGTCTTCGGGCTCGACGCATGATTTGTATTGATGCCTTTTGTTGAAAGATGCCAGAAGCAGCACGTGAATTAGGAAATAACCGCATTTAAAATTACGAATAAATTCCATTCTCTTTTCTCGGAAAGCTGTGCCTAATCCATTACGAATAAATTCCATAATCTATTAAGTTTCAGTTTCTTACTTAATGATTAATAGAAGACTAATAGCCTGATAATGATGGTACAACGATCTATTTATCTTACTTATGCTTTCACAAGGCGCATGTAAAGTTCATGGTAAATATATTTGATCGCCTTCTATCTTACTTATGCTTCAACGATCAGAAAAATTGAAAATGCTCACTTTTGTTAGGTTAAAATGACATCAGCAGCGTTTAAACATATGTAATCATTAATATTCAGGGAAGATGTTGTGGTATTCTTTTTTTTCTTTTACCGTATTTTCATTCACTGCAGATTTATATAGCAGATTTTCAAGATAAGATTTTAATGAAGCCATATAGACTACATCTGATTTGCAAAGAATTCTTGTACTTGACTGATTATTGAATGAAGTTTTTCACCTTCTTCATAAAAAATAATAATTAAAATCATTAATATTCATTGCAAATGTTTCACTTTTACTTTTATAGGTGAAGCATGCGTGTTCCACGTTTCTAGATAACAAAATTTCCAATTCATCTTTGCCAAAAGGCGAAAAGGAAGTTTCATCGTTCATGGGTTGTTGGTCTTAGGGATGGCAACGGGCCAGGTAGGGCCGGGTATGACAATACCATCCCCGTCCCTGCTCTCCATCCCCGTCCCCATCTCTAAATCAATCCCCGTTTAATAGGTTTCGGGGAATCCCCATCCCCGTCCCCGTTGGGGGACTATCCCCCATACCCGCCCCGAATCCCCGAATTTTTTTGCATAAAAAATATTTATCATACATTTTAACATTAAGTTTTATATTAAATTATTATTCAACACATTCAAATTAACTATAAAGTTCAACTCAACTATTCAAAATCACATCAATATGAAAATCCAGAGAATATTAGGAAGAATTATGAGAGGGAGGTTAACTTAGGGTTAAACATATATATTTTCGGGTCGGGTTCGGGGATGGGGACGCCAATACCATACTCTCCCCATACCCGTAGGGGATTTTTCAAGTTCGGGGATCCCCGTACCCGATACCCGTTTTGCTCCGAAATCTCCCCCCGTTAGGGTCGGGGACCTGCCTCGGCGGGGATTTTTGCCATCCTTAGTTGGACTTCATCTTTATCATGCCTCGCGAGTCGCGGTATAAGCAATGAAACTTTTGGTACAAGAATTCTATAACAAGGGTCTTATATATGGTCCTTAAGTGAGATCCTATCTCTTTAATCGTTGAATCAAATTGATTAGCTATTGAATTAAATTGATTAGTATAATTCAACGATTAAGAGATAGTACCTCAACTAAGAGCCTGATGCCGACAGTCATATACATTGGGCCACTACTGCCTAAATGAAAATCAACCTCAACTGTTGGGCTTCAAAATAGCAACAGGTTCATTTTGTTCTTTCCACTGGTCCAGATAAAAATAACAGTTCATTTGCTAACATTCATTTATTTATTTATTTTTATAAAATGATATTATAAACTATTCTAATGTATATAGAGGGGATCTAACTTGGATTCAAAGCGCCTGATATAATACCTTGGTAATTGACTTAACCCATCAGTTTTAAGCTTCGAAATTCATTTTTGTTAATACAAGAAATATTGTGTAAGGCAGGAGGCAAATACAAAACCTCAACTCATTTCTTTCTTAAGCTATAAGTCCCTTTTAATCTCAGAAAACATTGAGTTGTTCATCTTATAATATTTTGGGCTTCTTGGACCAAAAAAATAAGAAGACTTTCCAAAGTATTTGGAGCCCAATTATATGCATCAAGTGGCGGGCATGCATTGGTTTGGTGGGAAAGTAAACTGTAGTTCAAGAGAGAATCAGATTCCATTCTTTAGACGAAGATTAGTTTCCCTTATTTTGCTGAAGAAATTCAGATTATTCTATTTGGAATTGGATCCTGAAATTTAGTGAAATGCTCAGTCTCTCACTAAACCTCCTCAGTCGTCACATAGCGCACAGCTTAACGTTGACGCAGTGCGACCGAGTCATCCATGGCAACGTCATCAGTGCCCGAGTCGTCCATGGCGGAGTCCGATTCCAGGTCCGATCTCACTCTCATTCTCCTTGCACCTAAAGTCTCCGTTTCGTTCCAATCGCATGGTTCCTCGATTAGTGTTTGTATATCAATGCAGCTGTGTTGGCTCGGATTACGCGGAGATCATAGTACTGCGTCACGGTGAAACGGCCTGGAACGCTGATAGAAGAATCCAGGTCTTTTTCTCACTTCAACCTTTAAAAAGTTTGATCTTTTTGTTTAAATTTAGGCATCTTTTGGTAAGTTTTCTAATGTTATGCATCTTATGCGATTACCCCGGCCGTGTTGGCGAACTTGGTTTTTGTTAGTTGTTTGATGAGTAGAGATGCTAATATTTTTGAAGTTAGCTGATATCACAATCTCAAATGTTATGTTCTAAGTCTATATTCCACAGCCTACTTTGTCTGTGATTATATCGAACATGTTATGCAAATGCAAGTAATCATTTAAAAAAAAGGGGTTCGTAAGACTGCAACTAATTCCATGTACACACTCTGCATATTTTATCAGAAATGTTTTTGTGTGGGAACATAATGTTGTACGTGACCACGTCTGACGCAGCACAAGCGATCAATGTTTACAAACGTAAACCTAGAAGAAACCAGAGTCTGGAATCCACCAGCGAATAAGAAAAGTCTCAAGAGTTTTTATTAAAAGCATAATAATCTTAGGCAACGCATAAAGGTTGCTTCAATACATTAGCTTGACCCTAGGTTACCCCGGGGAGGTTATTGAAAACCAAACATCAGCAAAATGGAAATAAACGAAAAGTCTAAAATTAACTAAAATAATTAAATGCTGTTTTTGAAGCTCAAATGTCCTCGAATGCCCAAAATCCACTTTAAGTCACAGCATAGCTATGAGTTTGACTCGTGACGTCATTTCCTTTCCGGAAAGGCATGATATGATCCATTCGGAGCTCTGACACCAAGTCTGTAAATTCCAGCTGCGACCCTTTTCCATTCTTCGGTCCATTTCTTCTTCAATCCATTCTGCCATTTGTTCTACATCAACGTCATTATATCAACATATGTTTTTGTTCATCGTTAAATATGTTTTTGGTGCCCATGGCTGACACTGCATTTTTCTTGTTTAAAAGACAAAAACAATGCACTCATTGGTGCAATGCCCAGTTTGGGGGTGGCTGCCACAGGAGCCACCAAGCTTGGGTTGCCATAGCAGTCAAAAAAATTCCCCAGAAAAAGCCATCTTAAGCACTCCTTTCTTCTTCTTTTTTTTCGTGGTTCCTATACGCTACCAAAGTGCCCCTTAGAAAAGGCTAGGTTCCTGGTATGTGTTCATTTCTGCTGCGTTATGCTCAGGATGACGTACGAGTAAAGTTCCTGGATCATTAGTGCAATTTATCCTTGTTTTTTGAAACAACTAAATTTAAAAGTTGAGTCAATGCATTTATTTTGAACAGGGGCAACTGGATGTTGAATTAAATGATGCTGGGAGGCAGCAAGCAGCTCTAGTAAGTTACAAATTGTATATATACTTGCTGTTTGAGGGACACATGAAGGTTTTGAGTCTTATGTCCTTTGGTCAATAATGTCTGAAAATTTGGCTTTTACTCCCGAAGTTGGGTGATAGGTTATCCAAGGAGCCCAAGATCTCCCTTATATATTCTTCTGACTTAGCACGAGCTTATGAAACTGCACAGATAATTGCAGCCAGGTGCGGCGGGCTAAAGGTTGGTAACTTTGTTGCTCCCTGTTGCATGTAGTAAAGCTGATTGCATAATTGATAATACCAGTTTTCATTGAAGTAATGAATAATGTATATATTACAGCAAGTGCTTTGATGCTCTAAATCATTTAACAGACAGACGTGAAAATGAAAGCTGCATAGTATACATACATTACTGTCTTTTGGTTATAATTTAAGTAAAAACATGGAGTCAATGTCTTGGTAATCAACTCATCTGTATACATGTTACTGACAATGGGAATTGGATAAAAGATTTGTTTTTATTTATTTATTTATTTATAAACATGAAGCCAATGCATAATTTGGAAAAGGAGAATGCAACTCATCTGTATCAATGTTACTGACAATGGGAATTGGATAAAAGATTTTTTTATAAACATGAAGCCAATGCATAATTTGGAAAAGGAGAATGTTTCTATTCATTATATGTAAATAAAAGTCTTGGGTTAAATTTCAGGTTGTAACAGATGTCGATTTACGAGAAAGGCATTTAGGGGATCTTCAAGGCCTTGTATTTCGTGACACTGCCAAACTTAATCCTAAGGCTCACCAGGCCTTTGTATCTCATGAGACATGCCAAGAGATTCCAGTAAGCAATCTTTTTGTATTTTCGGCCTGAGGCTTTATCAAAGTTAGTACTTTGTCTTTTGTAACTAAGTTTAACAGCCACATCATAAAAGTACTCCATGGAGAAATATTATGGAATTGTCTGCCCATGACATTGACAGCTAGCCTATTAGAGATCGAGGTCTACATTTTGGACTGTATTTCTGTAATGTTGGAGCTGCCTGTCTTTGCACCTGACTAAGGTTGATGCTCCAGTCCCTAGTTTGGCCTTGGAGAGAGAGGACTCAGAACATTAAGATTTGACATTGTCATAAAAGCTTGGATGGTACTATACTAGTATATTGCAATACAATATAATGTTATTCTACTGTTCTACACATGCAGGGTGGTGGAGAAAGTCGCGATCAACTTCGTCAACGTTGCACATCTTCATTGCAGAGAATTGGCAATAAGCACAGAGGTATGGTTAGGGATGTCTCTTTTGTTTTTGGAATTTGCAAAATCTTTCTTCAATCAAGTTTTAGTTAGTTTGCGAACAGAATGATCCAATACCCTTTCCATTTTGAGGTGTACTTAAGTAAACTGCAGTTCAACTATTTCCTTGCCACACATTTAACTCATGTCATAGAATGGTTTGAACTCCCAATGAGCACTTATAGCTCATTTGCTGCTGTCGGTTGCCTCGTAAAGTTTAACTCCGCCACGACAACAAAACGCAAATTTAGAGTAAGGGTGACACAAAGTTGCAATCTGAATGTTTATATCCTGGCTTGTTTCAATAGCAGGAGAGCGAGTAGTTGTGGTCAGTCATGGAGCGGTTATTGAAACACTCGACGAACAGGCTTCTCCGGATGGCAGGTCCGTCAGATATGTACTCAATGCATCCGTCAACGTATTTCACGTATATGATGACGGCAAATGGACCATAAAATCCTGGGGTGATGTTAGTCACCTCAACCAAACAGGTTATCTGCAATCAGATTTCGGCAGGTACGAAAAATCTGGTTAGCTCGTGCTTAGGATGCTCTCGTAATCTGTAGTAATCCATAGAATGATGGAATTGACTAATCACTGTTCATTCAGAATTTCATTCAATATGTATGGCCTAGATCGGCTGATGCCGAAATTTATTTCATTATCTCATTAAGGATTAAGGAGTGAAAATGCAAGTGAGGCCACCCAAAATCAAGAGCTGAATTTCAGATTTTGGAGGAATTGGACTATTGGGTGGGAGGGTATTCTAATTCCTAGTGAACTAACCCATCATGAATCTATTTTTTTTACCCAATATATCCTCACACCAATTTGAAAATTCTAAATTTGTCATCCACTTTAATCCAACAAGAAGTGCATTTTAGTAATCAAACTAGTTTTAATTTCGATTCATGTTAATTTATTTTAGTAAACAACTTTAAAGGAATCAATATCATTCCTACCCCGATTCCAGATAGTTTAGTAAACAATTTCAATGAAAATATGGATTCTGACTCTTCAATTCAACTCCTCACTTGATTACGAATTAGTAAACATGTCATCAGTGTAGTGTAGTCCCATCAACTTTAAACTTAAGAATTTATTCTTTGTTAATACAAGCCAGGAATCAAATACAAAACCTCAAATGGATGATAAATTATTGTATCTATTAAGCACGAATTTTTTTAAGATGTTCATCATTATGATATTTTTTTGGGCTTTTTGCCAAAAAAAGATAAAATTCCCCAAAGTATTTTGGGCATGCATTGCTGGGAAAGTAAACTGTAGGCCTACAAGAGAGAATCTCTTTTTCCTTTTTTTTGGTCGAAGCCTACAAGAGAGAATCAGGTTCCACTATTTTGACCAAGAATTTAGATTCCATTATTGTTGTGCCGAAGAAATTTGTCAGATTCTTCTATTTGGGAATCTGAAAATTATTGATATGCTCAGCGCCACAAGTCCTCTGCCTCTCACTAAACCTCCTCAGGCGTCACAGAGCGCACAGCTTAACGTTGACGCAGTGCGGCCGAGTCATCCATGGCAACGTCATCAGTGCCCGAGTCGGAGTCCGATTCCAGGTCCGGTCTCACTTTCATTCTCCTTGCCCCTAAATCCTCCGTTTCGTTCCAATCGCATAGTTCCTCGATTAGGGTTTGTATATCAATTGTCTAATCCCAAGATTGCTGGAAAGTAATAAATTGAAAGAAAAAAAAGTGAAGCAGCTTTTTATTCAACTTTTTAAATTTTTTCTGGTGAACTCAATGCAGCTGTGTTGGCTCGGATTACGCAGAGATCATAGTACTGCGTCACGGTGAAACGGCCTGGAACGCTGATGGAAGAATCCAGGTCCTTTTTCTCACTTCAATCTTTAAAAAGTTTTATCTTTTTGTTTAAATTTAGGCATCTTTTGGTAAGTTTCCTAGTGTTATGCATATTATGCGATTACCCGTCCTTGCGAACCTGGTTTTTGTTAGTTGTATGATGAGTAGAGAAGCCAAAATTTTGAAGTTAGCTGATATCACAATCTCAAATGTTATGTTCGAAGTCTATATTTCACAGTTTATTTACTCTGTGATTATATCAAACATGTTATGCAAATGCAAGTAATCATTGAAAAAAAATGGTTTGTAAGACTGCAAATAATTCCATGTATACACTGTGCATATTTTATCAGAAATTTTTGGCAAAAGGTCACTTTTGGTCCCTGTAGTTTGGCACTTTTACCACTTTGGTCCCTGTGGTTTCAATTTGGTCAATTTTATCCATGTAGTTTCAATTTGAAGCAATTTAGGGACAATCCTTAATTTCTGTCAAATATTTTTAACTTCTGTTAGTTGTGGAGGGATAATTCGGTCAAAAAAATTATTTCATTTTAAAATAAATATTAAAGACAAATAAATAAATAAACATTTTCAAATTTTCAAATAAAAAATAGCAAACCCAGCCAAACCCAATTCGGATCAAGAGAGCAAAACCCCAGATCAGATCTAGTATTGGGTAAACAATGTCTAATATTACCTTCCACAATACAGAGAATATTCCTCCAAAACCCATCAAGTTGAAGATGAAAACCCAGATGCTATTTCTACACCATAATATTCTAACAAGGTAGAATTAAAACAAAACAAGAAGAAACAAAAAAGAAGAAACTCAAATTCTTATCAACCACCAAGTACCAAATTTGAATAATCACCACAAACCTCACTGAATTTGAATAAATCAAGGTCGTCCATCATGGGGGGTGGCGACAGGTTGAGATCGAACAGCAAATGAGAGATTCTCTGAAATGACGACGTCATGATGCAATCATCGCCATCGTCGACGACGGAGGACGAGGAGTCGCAGTCGCTGTGGCAGTCATCGGGTAAGACAGGGTGCATGGGTTTCCGCTGCCGCTGAGCATCGCAGGTGGGTATGGGGAAGGGGAGGTTGGGGAAGATGAGTTGGGGTTGCCTTTTTCTGGGTTTGGTTCTACTGTTCTTGTTCTAGTTTTTCTTTTTTTGAATTTTTTGTTATTTTATTCTTTAAGATATATTTGTTCTTGTTATTTATTTTTTTTGTTTTAAAGTTTTGGCGTTTGGGGAGGTTGCAATGGGGTGGAATTGGCTTTGACTGGGCTTTTCGTTATTTTTTTCAATTTGTAGATTTTTATTTATTTATTTGTCTTTAATATTTATTTTAAAATGAAATAATTTTTTTTGACCAAATTACCCCTCCATAACTAACAGAAGTTAAAAAAATTTGACAGAAATTGAGGATTGTCCTTAAATTGCTTCAAATTGAAACTACAGGGACAAAATTGACCAAATTGAAATGACAGGGACCAAAGTGGTAAAAGTGCCAAACTACAGGGACCAAAAGTGACTTTTTGCCGAAATTTTTTGTGCGGGAACATAATGTTGTTCTTTACCCCCAATCAACATTTGCCACTACTACATGACCACGTCATTATATCAACAGTTAATATGTTTTGGTGCCCATGGCAGACACTGCCTTTTTCTTGTTCAAAAGACAAAAACAATGCAACCATTGGTGCAATGCCCAGTTTTGGGGTGGCTGCCACAGGAGCCACCAAGCGTGGTTGCCATAGCAGTCAAAAAAATTCCCCTGATAAGGTTTCCAGCCATCTTAAGCACTCCTTCTTTCTTTTTTCATGGTTCCTATGCACTACAAAAGCGCCCCTTAAAAAAGGCTAGGTTCTTGGTAAGCGTTCATTTCGGCTGCGTTATGCCCAGGATGAGGCACGAGTAAAGTTCCTGGATCATCAGTGCAATTTATCCTTGTTTTCTGAAACAACTAAATTTGAAAATTGAGTCAATGCATTTATTTTGGACAGGGGCATCTGGATGTTGAGTTAAATGATGCTGGGAGGCAGCAAGCAGCTGTGGTAAGTTACAAATTTTATATATACTTGCTGTTTGAGGGACACATGAAGGTTTTGAGTCTTATCCTTTGGTCAATAATGTCTGAAAATTTGGCTTTTACTTCCGAAGGTGGGTGATAGGTTATCCAAGGAGCCCAAGATCTCCCTTGTATATTCTTCTGACTTAGCACGAGCTTATGAAACTGCACAGATAATTGCAGCCAGGTGTGGCGGGATAAAGGTAGGTAACTTTATTCAAGTTGCTCCCTGTTGCATGTAGTAAAGCTGATTGCATAATTGATAGTACCAGTTTTCATTGGAGTAATGAATAATGTATGTATTACAGCAAGTGCTTTGATGCTCTAAACCATATAACAGACAGACATGAAAATGAAAGCTGCATGGTATGCATACATTACTGTCTTTTGGTAATAAGTTAAGTAAAAACTTGGAGTCAATGTCTTGGTAATCAACCCATCTGTATAAATGTTACTGACGATGGGAATTGGATAAAAGAATTTTTTTTAAACATGAAGCCAATGCATAATTTGGAAAAGGGAGAATGTTTCTATTCATTTTATGTAAATAAAAGTCTTGGGTTAAATTTCAGGTTGTAACAGATGTTGATTTACGAGAAAGGCATTTAGGGGATCTTCAAGGCCTTGTATTTCGCGACACTGCCAAACTTAATCCTAAGGCTCACCAGGCCTTTGTATCTCGTGAGACATGCCAAGAGATTCCAGTAAGCAATCTTTTTGTATTTTGGGCCTGAGGCTTTATCAAAGTTGGTACTTTGAATTTTGTAACTAAGTTTAACAGCCACATCAGAAAAGTACTCCATTGAGAAATATTATGGAATTTTCCTGCCCATGACAGCTAGCCTATTAGAGCTGGAGGTATACATTTTGGACTGTCTTTCTGTAATCTTAGAACTGCCTGTCTTTGCACCTGACTAAGGTTGATTCTCCAGTCTCTAAGCCTTGGAGAGAGAGGACTCAGAACATATAAGATTTGAGATTGTCATAAAAGCTTGGATGGTACCATAGTAGTAGTACTAATATTGATCTCTGTTGTCTAATCATGTGATAAATGTCTGGTTGATGACCTATTCCTTATGGACTGTGCTGTTTTTTTCGTGGTAAGGAGGACTAGTGTCACATGGCATTTCATATCATGGTCAGAAAGGGTGAAAATCTACCAATATGTAATTACAATAATGGATGCCCTAAATTCATTAGGGGCATGAATTTTAGCTTTGGAGATTGCAATACAAATTTATGTGTATTCCACTGTTCTACACATGCAGGGTGGTGGAGAAAGTCGTGATCAACTTCATCAACGTTGCACATCTTCAGTGCAGAGAATTGGCAATAAGCACAAAGGTATGGTTAGGGATATCTCTTTTGTATCTTTACTACTGGGTAATTTGCTAAATCTTTCTTCATTCAAGTTTTAGTTAGTTTGCGAATAGAATGATCCCATACCCTTTCCATTTTGAGGTGTACTTAGGTAAACTGCAGTTCAACTATTTCCTTGTCACATGTAACACATCTCATAGAATGGTTTGAACTCCCAATGAGCACTTTTAGTTCATTTGCTGTTGTTGATGCTATGCCTGTAGAAACTATTCCAATGTTATTAAGACCTTGCTTGCCTCTCAAAGTTTAACTCAGCCACGACAAAAAATGCAAATGTAGAGTAAGGGTGACACAAAGTTGCAATCTGAATGTTTATATCCTGGCTGGTTTCAATTGCAGGAGAGCGAGTAGTTCTGGTCAGTCATGGAGGGTTTATCAGAACACTCTACAAAGAGGCTTCCCCAGATGGCAGGTCTGTTGCAAAAGTACTCAATACATCCGTCAACATAATTCACGTGTATGAGGACGGCAAATGGACCATAAAATCCTGGGGTGATGTTAGTCACCTCAACCAAACAGGTTATCTGCAATCAGGTTTCGGCGGGGACGAAAAATCTGGTTAGCTCGTGATTGGGATGCTCTCATAATTTGTAGTAATCAATAGAATGCTGGAATTGACTATTCAGAATTCAGTCAGAATTTCCTTCAATACTTATGGCCTAGATCGGCCGATGCCGAAATTTGTTTTGTTATCTCATTGGCCAAGACTATAGCCGCATGATTGTTCAATCGACATCAACTTTTCCATTTTAGCAATAAGTTGAATTTATTGATATGATTTTTGGGATTGCAAATTGCTTGCATCTTCATTTAAGTTGCCAACTTCCACAACCAAAATGCAAGTTGTATTGCTTGACCTACCACATGCACCCAAAAAAATAAAAATAAAGTTGCACAATTCTGACCCAGTGACCTCGTACCTACCCACCCACCTGCACCACATTTCTTGGGTTGGAAGAAGTTCAAGCATAAGATATGACTCTGAGATCATAGAACAAATGCAGTCTTATGTATCCCAAAATCACTGGGGCAACTATCATGTGAGCTGGAGTTTTTTTCTCTTATTGGAATGCAGTTTTGTTCTGAGATGAAAAATTCTTTTGGATGCATGTGTGCTTATTAGAATCGGTTGTAGCTCTGATTATGATTTGGTATAAAGTGTTTGTCAAGTAGAAGGTTACAACGTTTTTTGATTGACTGTTGAGAAGTGTTTGTTCAAAATATTCAGGACCCAGGTAAGGGTGATGAGTACAGCTAGGGATGGCAATTTTGCCCCGGTCTGAGCTATCCCCATGGGACCCCGCTTTAATGAGGCTGGGACCAGGATAGAATATAGGGTACTCGATTTAAGTCGATTCTAATCACTAAAACTTTTCATTCGGTAGTATTCATAAAATTGAAATACATGTAATCACCTACAAATTAGTATTGTATACTTTCGGGAGACCATAAGGATTCACACCTAAGTTTTAGGTCACGTATACTTTGTAATATACTTTCCACATTGATATTGTATTTGTAGTCGCAATTTTGGAATTCAACATTAAGCACTTATTAGACTTATGACTTTTGTTAGGAAAATATTAAACAGATACCCAAAAAAACCACATGATTTTGACCACAAACATAATCTCAAGTTGTGGGAGACGGGTCTGCCTTTGAATTGTTTGGTTCCTTTCTTTTTCGACCTGCTTGGACCTACGTGTCCGCGTGGTTTTTGCTTGTAATTTCCCTTTTCCATATCAAAAATAATAATAATAATCTCAAGTATACAAATATAAAAGCATAGCATCCGAACTCTGTAAGCATCATCATAAAACACATTGACCCGAAAAAAACGATGGATGGAGAGAATGATTCAATAGCAATGATAAAAATTTCTTATTAATCTCATGGGCAATGTAATTATGTAAGCATGCGCGTCATGCGTTGCGTGGGGCTTCCTCATATTAAATCACAAATACTCAGGTAGTTATCCAAACGTGGACAACTCTAATCATTTCTAGTTGGGATTTTCATGTTCCTTTTGTGTTTTCTCTCTCACTTTCCATTGAGAGATCTTTTTTACTTCTGCATCTCAAAGATCCTTTTTTGACTTGACAAATATAAAATAAAATAAAAATAAAATGGAATTATTCTATGCCAACATCTTGATTATATATTTGGTATAATGATGATGTCTTTTGATGGGTCAACCATAAAATAATTTTAAGTTGCATCATGTTTGGGTTTTCTCTTTTAACCCATTCGATTTCATTGGCAGGCTCAACACATGGTACAATGTATATGCCATTTTTAGATGCATGAGCCAAAAATTTGGCGCCAATCCAATGAGACTGTTGTTGTAGTCCGTTATTATAATCACCCATGTTTACTATCATTATTATAAGGGTCATTGTCTCTCGAATAATGCCGGACATACACATTTATATATCATATTGTGTACCACTTCTTTAATTTAATAGTTAATGTTCAAATATCGACAAAATAGCACCTAAAGTTTTGTTTTATTGTTTCATGATTTTTTCATACCTCATATAGGTTGTTTGCTATGGTTAGTTTAGGATAAAAGTTCACATTTTTATATCTTCGTTAAATGCGATGAAAAATGTATATTTCGACCGTATTGGAAAAACCAAAAAAGGTAAATTAAATAAAACTATAATATATACGATTTAACCATAAACAAGGAGGCTCAATTGCGGGAAAAAATGCAATCATATCCGGACAATATGTAACAAAATTTTGGATGATGTTAAGATGAAGTGGTTTGGATTTTGGTGGGGAGCTGAATCATGATCCATAGTGTTTGGTGCGCAGCAAGATAATGAATAATGAATGTTGTTTGAGTTTGGAATGTGAGTTTTCGATTTTTAGTGGGGGACAATTGGCTTTGGGTTTTCTCAAGCCTCTGATTTATTTTATTGTCGTGAGAATAAGACTTTGAGCTAGTTGATTATATACATGAATACATTTATCTGATTTCATTTTCATGGAGCATCATGATTTGAAGAAGTTAACCAATTTATTCTTAGTTTAGCGGGGGTTTTTTCTTTTTTCTTTTTTTTCTTTCTAATCAATGTTGAAGAACCGATAAATTTATTGTTAGTTATGTATAACTCGTGTCACATGCATGTTGTGAATATTAGGTCAAATACATATATATATTTATCTTCATCAAATGCAAAGAAGATAATCATCATATACCTTTTCTTTTTTGTGGTTTTGTTAGTATCTTAAGTAGTTGAGTAGATTTTATTTTGATGGGGTTGTATGATTAATAAAAGGATTGTTTCATGTTTATAACTTACGAGATGTGCGTTTCAGGATTAATAAACAAGTTGAGTTAACGATATTACTAAGTCGTTAGGACTTTGTAACTTGAGTGGTATGTGTTTGAATTTTCCCTCCTATTACATGACTTAATCATGAGACAATACACAAGATGACAAAAAGAAATTTTAATTTGTTGTATGGTATCAAATTTTGTAGGCGAAAATCTTAATACATCCATAAGAAAAAGAAATTTTAAAACTCTTAAGAAATTAGTACGAAAATAATTTGACTGGATCAACCGAAAATTAAATTGCAGAATTCGGTGGAGACAACAAATTGAAGCTTCCTTCGCATTCATTTATTGCTGCCGATTTCATGTGAATTGGAAGCTCCCTAAAGTCCAAATTCATATCCCTTTTCTAAAGTGAAAAAAGAAAGAAAGAAGGCCACGCGTCCACTAATATCCCTTTCTTGGTTAGCAAGTTTATTTCTTTACTATTCTCATTAGTTGTGAAAGGGATGGGTTTTTTTTTTCCTTAATTAATATAAATAGAGTTTCTCATAAACCTCGTGCATTTATATTTATAAACGTAAGTGCATGCCTCATACAAAAAAAAAAATTAAAAAAATATATATATTAAGGTCTAGTACTACTAATTTCATGAATTTTTTTTTTCATATCGATTTATTATTATTTTGTAGGATTATCATGTCACATTAATGGTAAATGACCTTAATTGAAACCCTCTAATCTGGTAAATGACCTTAATTGACATACCATTGGTCTCATATTCAAACCCTATAGTACCTTGATAGTGTGTATGAGAATACCCTCCTCTCCCTTCCTAACGTTGGCCAAAAAATAAAAAAAGACAGACATTTGAGTCCAATTTTCATGTTACCAAATCCCATGTTTCCCCATGTTTCCTCATTCGTTTTGTGACATGTGCCAAAGAACTTAACACTAATTTAACTCTGTTAACTCTCTTAAGCGCTTTTTTTAATTAAAATATACTAAAATTCAATAAAAACACGTTTGCACGCCTCTTGATCTTCAGCACCTACATATTCTCCGCTCACTGTATCTTCTCAATTGTGCAAAACTCTTTGACATGCTCACAATGGAATTCTTAGCATGTTGTTGAATATGATTGAATCTTATTGATGCTAAAATTTTGTAAACAGTTGAGGAAATTATTTTTTGAAATGGGCTATGCTTTAAATTGAATTTTCTTGTGGTTTCTGGAAATGGTATATATGTCTTTCACCTCCGACTTATTTTTAAAAGCTATCGGCATGGAGATGCATAGGATGTCTTCCTTTTGTAATTGAAGTTATGTCATCGAGTATTGAAATTCAACAAAAAGATTCTCACTTTAGGTACCTGTTAGATGATCGAATCAGATGCAGGGGCGGAGAAGATGCAGCAGGCAGAGAAGATGTAGGCAGTGGCGGATTCATGATTATGTGGCCAAGGAGTCACAGTGTAAAAGTTTCAAAAATTTTTTACAAAAAAAATAATACTAAAAAGATAGAAAGATAGTACTTCTATTTATAATTAATAACAAAACCAATAATACAAGTTACAATTGTCCACGTCGAGTTTTCATATTTTGAAAACGTTGCATTATAGTTTCGTTATCATTAATTTTTATCCAAATTATCATACGAATATGAAAATGTCAATAACCCACTATCAATATTCAATATACCAAATTATCATATCAATTAATATTCAATATACCAAATTATCATATCAAATATCAATCAATATTCAATATACTCAATCCTTCCACATTATCAATAAATCATAAACTCAATCAATATACATTATCAATTTATCATATCCATAAATTTCATTCCATAAAAATAAAAAATCAATATCAACAATATATATTATCACTATAAACTTATAAATATAAATTTTGCTTACTTGAAGTTGTAGTTGAAAAAAAGGGCGGTTGACAGCTTGGAGGTTGGGAGGTTAGGGTTTGGGAGGGTGGGGATATGTGAAATTGGGAATGAAAAGGGTTTGAAGCTGCTGTGCAGAGTCGGGTAAGTGTTGATTTTTTTATTTTTTTATTTTTATAAAAAAAAACCTGGCCCAAAACGACGTCATTTTGAGGCCAGGTCAATGAAAATTTGTTTTGACTGAGCCTTGGACCAAATGACGTCGTTTGGCAAGGCTCGTTTTAATTATAAAAAAAAAAAAAAAAAGATGCACAGCGCTCACGTAGCGCATCAGAGCAAGCAAATGGACAGGGACTTTCGTCGAGCACTTGGTGTGCACACAAGGGGTCATTCACCACCTCTCCAATGGGTTGTTCATGGAGTCCACAACCAATTTTTCAGCATTCCAAGGGGTCGTGCGACCCCTCTTGTCCCAACGTGCGTCCGCCCCTGGATGTAGGGGTTGAAAATGAAGAGGCGTGCAAACTATTTTATTGTATTTTTTTTAAAAAAAAATGAATGAAGTGAGTTAGCAGAGTTAAGGTAGTGTCAAGTTGTTTGCCTTATGTCACAAAACTAAATAGGAAACAGAAGGACACAGAAAATTTAGTAACATGAAAATTGAACTCAATTTAAATAGCTTATTGTGTAATTTTAATAAGTCTACAATGACAATCAATGAGACCAATTTGTATGGAAGTTGTTGGGGAAGCATTTATTACCATGTGCATCATAAAAAACCAAACTATTTGACAAAGAAATGTTCATGCATAACACATGGATTATTATTTCCAAGATTATTTACTCTGCTTTAAAAGTATATGCTTACTATTTATTAGAATGAAAATAGAAATTCAAATGCGTCTATGCTTACTAAGTTGAGATGAAAAAAAGAAGAAATTACTCATGTGAATATTTGACATTATTAAATATATAAAAAATATAACTTGCAAAAGGTATCTTGTCCTCGAAGAAAGGCAAGGAAACGACGCTGTTTTGACTTTTCAGCGCGTTTTTTTGTTTCGCACCGCAAAAGCTTTTCCCGGATTAAAATTTCGATTTCGGATCTTTTGTTTTTCACAGGCGAAATTACAAAAACGATAACAGGCAATTTCGCACTCATTGCCCGTCCAATCACGTTGCTCATTGGCCAATTAACGGCACCGCAAACCAGAATTAATTAATTAATTAACTTAAGCATTATTTTAATCACTAATCAAAACAACCCACCCAGCGCACGCCACGTGGATTGTTCATACGTACAGGCTGGACCACTCCCATAATTAAATTAAGATACGAAGCTTAATCCGTAATTAATTAAATTAGTTATTTAACCACTTTAGCTAATAAATAAATAAATTAAGCGAACGCATCGTCGTTACCCTTTTTATCGCTTCATATTTGGATCCCCCTATCCACCTCTCTTCTTACCACCAGTCTTAATTCCCGGAGACAAACAAAGCCCAATTCCCAGGAGTTCAAATTTAAATCCGCAGCTAGAAAAAAAAAAAAAGGAAAAGAATTGGATTTTTAAATTCTTGAGAATTTGAAAAAATCTCTGGGTTTCGAAAATTTTGAGATAAACACCATGCTCTGACCCCGGAATTGGGAAATAAAATCCCCAGACTGGGTCTGTTTGGGGAGGATTGATCGATTTCCCAAATGGGTATTTGCACCTCCAAACCCTCCCCAAACTCTCACACTTCATCTCCCAAATCCGATTCTCCACAGACCAAGGAAAGCTCTGTTAAGCAACCGGACGCCCCCGCCAATGGCGAAAACCCTAGAGATGACAAGGCTGAAGCGGAGAACGTCAAGAAGTCGCCGTTTTTCCCGTTCTACAGTCCGAGCCCGGCTCATTACTTCTTCTCCAAGAAGTCTCCGGCGAGATCTCCGGCGAATGTGAGCTCCAACTCGACGCCTAAGCGGTTCTTCAGGCGGCCGTTCCCACCGCCGTCGCCGGCGAAGCATATAAGGGCGGTTCTGGCGAGGAGGCATGGGTCCGTGAAGCCGAATGAGGCGGCGATACCGGAGGGGAGCGAGGCTGAGGCTGCGACGGGGCTTGATAAGAGCTTTGGGTTCTCCAAGCATTTTGGGAACAAGTATGAGCTTGGTGAAGAGGTTGGGAGAGGGCATTTTGGGTACACTTGCAAAGCTACGTTTAAGAAGGGCGAGCTCAAGGGCCAACAGGCCGCTGTCAAAGTCATCCCCAAATCCAAGGTTTGCAATTTCTCAGTTTGACTGAGTTTACTAATCAATTGACTTGTGAAGTAGTGGGTTTTGCGGATTCTGAGGATGAGCAGTCGTCTTTGTGATTGATATGGATCCTTAAAACGTTTCGTTGGCATTGTTTGAATTGGATCTGTTGGCGGACGCATGATTTACAGGAAACACAGAAACGATTTTGGTTTTTGTAATTGTTATACTTTCTAGAAAAGAGAGATGCATATTTTATCTGCAAAAAATGGTTTTTGTGATATGAGCTAAGTTGACATTTAGTCCTGATAATTTCCTTGGTGGTCTAACTATGAAGTGGTGATACGATTTAGGTTGTCTGTAGATTTGCTAGTTTTATCTTCTTCCGGAAACAGGTTATGTTCTAGTCAGATTGCTGCATCCTGTCTCATTTTGTTGTTTTGACAGTTGGCTTTATTCTAGTACCTTTCTATGCTTTGTTTTCTGCTATTTGTCTGGGTTTTTTAAATTCGTATTGTATTGGTGTTGTCTTATTTGGTGATTTTGTTTTATGTTTTTGACGTTAGATGACTACTGCTATTGCCATTGAGGATGTGAGAAGGGAGGTGAAGATATTGAAAGCTTTGACCGGACATAACAATCTAGTAAAATTCCATGATGCTTTTGAAGACCATGATAATGTCTACATAGTAATGGAGTAAGTCCTGATCACTGCATATTTTTTGGACTCATGTGATTCTGTAAACTTGTCTTGACGTTCTTTCTTATGGATTTCATAACTTCAATTGTTGTACTTTACAGATTATGTGAAGGAGGGGAGCTCTTAGATAGGATACTTGCAAGGTATTTCTTCTGGTGCCTATTTGATTTGAATGCACGTGTCTTGAACTTGTTATGTTTTGGTTGTTCTTGATGGACTGGGAAATAGGAAAGTTATGGGAAAAAATGTTGGTAATTCAACAGCAACTGGTGCCCTATCATATTAAGGATATTCTAATTCCTTTCTTCAGGGGTGGGAAATACACGGAGGATGATGCAAGGACCGTCATGATACAAATATTAAATGTTGTTGCGTTTTGCCACCTTCAAGGCGTGGTGCATCGGGATCTTAAACCTGAGGTAGGATATATGCCCTCTGGAGTTGTAACTTGCATTCATTTCATATTCATGTATACTCATCTAAGTGTATCTTGTTCAGAATTTTCTGTTTTCATCAAAGGATGAGGATTCACAGTTGAAGGCTATCGACTTTGGCTTGTCAGATTTTGTCAAACCAGGTTGGTTGACAGTTCTTCAATCAGTGCGTGCTCTTTTAGTAGCTATAAAAATTTGGCAATGGTTTCTTATGGTTTAATTATATTTGCAGATGAAAGGCTTAATGACATTGTTGGTAGTGCGTACTACGTAGCCCCTGAAGTTCTACATAGATCTTATGCTACTGAGGCTGACGTCTGGAGCGTAGGTGTGATTGCATACATTCTTTTGTGTGGCAGCCGTCCATTTTGGGCTCGAACTGAGTCCGGCATCTTTCGGGCTGTTCTAAAAGCTGATCCAAGTTTTGATGAACCACCTTGGCCATCTCTGTCTGTGGAGGCAAGAGATTTTGTCAAGCGCCTATTAAATAAAGATCCACGGAAAAGAATGACTGCTGCTCAAGCCCTAAGTGAGTGCCTTATCCACTCTAAAGAATGCTTTGGCATGACTATTTTCAAACTGTTACTCACTACTTTCTATTACAGGTCATCCCTGGCTTAAAAACTCTAATGAGGTTAAAGTTCCTCTGGATATATTAATATTCAAACTCATGAAGGTTTATATGCGTTCATCAGCTCTCCGAAAAGCTGCTTTAAGGGTGTGTATATGATGCCATTTTCAATTGATATGATAAACTAATTTTGTTCTGGTGACTTTTAGAGGTTAACATTCCGTCAAATTTTCTAGCCATCCTATTCTCCATCAGTTTTGCTTTCTTATTTTTATATCCTCATTTTTGGTAATTTCTAGTGGTTTATTTACTTCTCTCAACATTGGCATTTTGCAGTCACTTTCCAAAACATTGACTGTGGACGAGCTTTCTTATTTGAAGGAGCAGTTTGCACTATTGGAACCAAATAAAAATGGCACAATAAGCTTAGAAAATATTAAAGCGGTTGGTTTCCTTCAGAATGTATTTACTTATTTAAACTCAATCTCTAGTTATTCATGCTTCTGAACTCCTCCATGTTGTCAGGCGTTGATGAAAAATGCTACTGATGCAATGAAGGAGGCACGAATTGCTGATTTTCTAGCATCGGTAGGGGCTTTGACTATTGTAATGGATGTTGCAGTTTATTACATTTTATATTTTCCTAATTCTTACTGGAACATTATATTTCTTCTCTTTTGCAGCTTAATGCATTGCAATACAGAAGGATGGATTTTGAGGAATTTTGTACAGCTACACTAAGTGTCCACCAACTTGAGGCACTTGATAGATGGGAGCAACATGCTCGTTGTGCCTATGAGCTGTTTGAGAAGGATGGCAACAGGGCTATTGTTATTGAGGAACTGGCATCGGTATGAGTGCATGCATTAATAATTTGCACTTTTCTTTTTGCCCCCTCCCTCGTAGTAAATAGTTGTGAGCTTTAAAGGAACATTAAATTTTCCATCTCAGTGCAAAGTTTTCTGTTCAGATTGGTTATAGAATATAAGTGAAGCTAGAAGTCAAAATGTTCATATGCATGAATTTACACTGATCCTTAACAATGTTGCAGGAACTTGGCCTCAGCCCTTCCGTCCCAGTTCATGCAGTGCTTCACGATTGGATTAGGCACACTGATGGAAAGCTCAGTTTCCTTGGATTTGTCAAATTGTTGCATGGGGTTTCTAGCCGAACTGTACCAAAAGCTCAATGAAAGGTTTGATAAGATCCAAGAAGTATAGGCTGCCCACATAAAACCATGGCTTAAGAGCTGGTTGAGAATTTCCTGAACCCAATATGACCAATATGAATCATTTGATTAAGCTCAGGCTTGTAAACACTTGGGACTGGAGTAACAACCCGGTATGTGCTAGAGCGGAAGCTCAGTCGTGTTTTTTTCCACTGTAAATCTGTAGTTTTAGTATAGCGTGTTTAGTTGCAGATTAGAATTAGCCCTCAACTGGTTTACTAGACGATTACACTTACCGTTTCTGACATTAGACTGGCGGGACATGTCCACAATTATGTTGTAGCATCTCTTTCTTCTTAATACTATTTGCGCAGCATTATATCTTCTTGTTTTTATACAGATCAGCACTGTACTTTCTTTAACTTCTGCCTATGATTATCGTAACCAAAAATTTAGTAACACTTAATAGAAATATAAAATAAATGTTATAGTTAGCAATCCCCGCTAAGATGGGCAGCTGTCAACCGGTAATGCAAGCGGGTCTCACAATGCTTCAACAGATAACGACTGCCCACCCATGGAACTCCATTACAAATCTGAACCATGAAATGAAACAGCTTAAACAAGGCAAAGACCTGTCTGAATATGACTAGTAGAAGAACAATGTCGTCTCGCTTTTTTATGTTTTTTTTATAAATATCAAGTTGTCGTTTGGCTTACCCAAGGGACTTCCCGCTAAATTTCTATGAACGGATTGGGATAAAGGAAAGGTTGCAGTCATATGATTGGGCCGCAAGGCCCACAACGCGCTGAATTGCCTAAAAAAGTGACAGCATGGTTTCCAATGTAGCAAAAGGCCTTCTTGTGGGTCCAGCGGTTATTATATCAAAATCCCCATTTTACCCTAACCTGAAACAGAAAGAAAATTTTTTTTTTTCAAAGTAAAATTTTGTATCTAAACCGAATGTCTGAAATTGTTTTTTGGCGTTGTGTTGGATGACATGGCCGGCAGGGAAGGTAAGCGCGCTTTTATTTGTATCTCTTCGTCTTCTGAAGAAGAAGAAGAAGACGACGACAACGACCAAGTAGAAGACAGCGGCACTGAAGAAGAAGAAGAAGATGATGGCGACGAAGGTGACAACGACGATTATAATGATGAGCAGGAGGACGACGATGCTGATGAGCAAATTGAGGAGGGCGATGACGAGGCTCTCTGCAACAAAGTGATCCGCTCTCTCAATGGTTCTTCTTTTTCTTTTTTCGTTGACAAATTTTTTGGATTTTTCTATTTTCACTCGCATTTCTCTGTCTCCAATGTCGATGCTTCTTTCAATTGCCGATAATTCGAAATGATGCTTTAGATTTCGTAAGTTGAGTATCAGAGTTGAGTTTTCTTTGATTAGGTCTTGATTAAGGACCTTAAACCCTGATTAACGTAAAGCTAACAGCGAGGTTTTTTGTTGTCGTTGTTTATTGTGTTTGGCAGAAGGGAGTGATTTGGATTCTTTAAATCTCAAAGAGTGCAAAGCATATTTGCGAAGGAACGGCCTCAGAATATCTGGAACCAAATCTGTTTGTATACAGAGAATCGAAGAGCACCAGAGGTGAGTTTTTCTTTGAATTTTGAGTCCTTGTTCATTTTTCTCTGTTGTTTGTAGACACTGACTTAATTTTTATATATATTTATTTTGATTGAATGATTTGCTTACTCTCATATTAGATTGAAAGATGGAAATGGTGAAGCACTTTACCCTAAATCATCCTTTGTAGTTAATTGTACAGGTTAATGTCTTTCTTCACTTCATATGCATTTGTTCACTCCGGTGTTGTATCAATTTGTGCTTAAAGTTTACAGTTCATTGCAGGTGATGTCTGCAAGGGAGATGTCGTGCTCTTCACCCAGAAAGTTTATGAGAAGTATCCAGACATATCCCATTTCTTTTTATTTTTAATAGTTTTATTATGTGATGTTCTGTGTGGTACCCTCAATTCTTTCGTTGTTGTGAGAGTGTTTGATTTCAAACAGATTTGATAAAGTGAGAAGGTACGGAAGGATTCTAGGGAAGAGAACTGTTGCTGGCAGGATTGCCAAAGAAAGCTATGGTGCAGCCAAACAACAACATACTTTTACGGTAAGCCTGAGGGTTTATGTGTTCTTCTGGTAGTAAGTATAACTTGGTGTGGGCTATACATGTTGGCAGTTGGCAATATTTTAGGTTCATATATAAAAGTTTAAGAGAATCACGATAGAGAAATAATAATTTACTTTTACATAACCTGTTGTTAGTAGCTATTTAGTGATTCTTCTAACTGATCCATGTTCCCAATGTGCAAGGTTGAAGTGCTGTGGAGCAGGGGAATAAAGAAGCTGTGCCCTCTATTTCCTTTGCTTGTGAAGGGTCGTAATCTCTATAGATTGAGAACCTTTAGACAGGTAGCTGTGCATGTGATGTCTTTTTTTTTTTTTTTTAAGAAAAAAAATTAACTGGTAAGCACTATTAAGATATTGGTTTGCTTGCATGTTTTCTTTTCCACCATTTAGCGTTGGAGTAATGAAGCTGAAAGATCAAAAGTGCTTGCTGAGAAGCACAGACGAGGTGAAGTAGCAAGACGTGTCAGAGCAATGAAAAAATCAAAGAAATCAGCTGCAAATGGAGGTATTTGGAGGGAACGAAGCCATTTACTTGCATGTTACTTCTTTTACAATGTCATTCTTACTTTTGCTCCAGATGCAAGAGAGATTGTTTGTGTATTTCATTCTTTTAGATGAAGAGTTTACCATCTTGATTATCTATTATATGATCAGGTGTGAAACGTCAGAAACAATCACATTTTACCAGACCAAATCAAATTAGGAAAAACAATGAATCAGAAAAGGGAAAGCATTTGGATAGACTCCGAAAAAGGACATCCCGTGGATCTGCAAACCATAACAGTTTCTTTCAACATCGAGCAGCCCTACCATCAAAACAGCTGACTTTGCAACAAAGTGCAATGAGTAAAGCCTCTCAATGTTTTAGTAGGCATCAGAATCCAGCTTGCTTTAATATTGATAGAGTTCCAGCTCTTCATTCACAGCCTGTCCCTCAAATACCTCTCCAATCTCAACTAGAATTTCAACACAGGAGTGCACCTTTCCAGTCTTTTAGTCATGCCATGAACTCGAATTCAACCATGTTGAGATATTCTGTAACAACTAATGTTGATACACTTATTCAACCTGCCTCACAATTTCAGAGGTTCAGTAACAGCAATTGTAGCCACAATGGTTATGTAGTTCCTGGCTACAATCTTGAAAATTGGGATCATTTACCAGGTGTGAATTTTGGCAGGCGATTTCATCCCTATATTTCAGGAGCTGACACAAATGGACAGATGAGGTATAGAGATTGCTCTATTCTGTAGTATAGTATGTTATTACTGGACCTCTGTATGCTGACTTATTTCTTCTCATTGGGATACTACAGGATGGGACAGAGATGACGTGTGCACCTATTCCATTCCCAATTTATGGAATAAGTTTCAACTCGCAGCATTTCATTTGGTATCTCCTTTTCCTTTTGATGATGATCTGTTCATACCCGCACTGCTAGTTTGAAGTTTGAAACTACAATACATCCTTTTGTGGACATAATCATTAGGGATTCACTATGTATATATGTCAAGAATGTTTGTCAAAGTTCAATCCATAATTGTTTTTATATAAATAACTAGTACAGTTATTTCATTGATGTATATATGTACCTATCTATCTGTGCTCAGTTTTTTTAATTAATCAGAAGTTCTGGCTTTGCCATCATGCTCAAGCTGCAAAGCCTTTCCTTGTTAAAAGTTTTCAGGCAAAAGAAATGGGTACTCTGTTGTTTTCCTTGCCTTCCTCTCAGATGCAAATCATATATTGTCCGTAATTTCCTCTGGTATTCCATATTACTTTAAGCGAGTTATTCCTCCTGTTTCAGCTCATGTTGTGGGTTCTTAAACTCAACATTCTAAAGTTTGCTGAGTGAAAACCACGGCACGGGCCAATGGGTTCCTACCACAGTGGTGTTGGCTTCCCCCTCCCCCACATGGCACCCCAGTTTGAACCCATTCGAATTCTAATGTTAAAAATAAAAAAAACAACGGCATATGATATAATATGTGCAATTGTTGTGCGGTCATAAGGGGGCAATTTCAAGGATGAAGTTAACACCTAGGTCACAATCACATTGTATCTATAAGTTGATTTAGTTTTATGCTTTTCTTGTTTTTCAAAATTTGGAAAAAACTGCTCGATGAATTTGAATGAAAATGGTTTCTTAATCATAGTTGTGAGAATTACTATTGCTAGATTGAAATTATTGTTCTTTTTCATTGTGGTTGCTAGAGATGGCATCAATAAAGCATGAGACCAGCTAGAGTGGTTGTGTTCCGGACTTGCTATGGTGTCTTTTCTGACGGAGGTGGTAATGGTATTAATTGTTGAGAATTGTAGCTTTGATATAATTTAGCCTCACATTGCAGGTAGCTCCAATATAAATGTTTCCGAAGCTAATAGCAATTGGTCAGTTAGGGTTAGGTCTCTTATCCCCCTTGTCAAGGGCAGTTGTAGTTGGATTTGGTGTGGTACATGGGTAAAGTCCTTCCTTGAAAAAAATAGTAAAAGTTCGTACTCTAGTATAAATGTAAGAGTTGTGCTAGCAACAGTCACCTACACTTTAATGCGAATATCAACCATCGATGAATGTGAACGTCATTTATCTACGGCTAATAGTTTGCTTTCATCTCAATAGAATAAGATGACAAAAGAAAAAATTGGAATTGGAGAGGGGATGAATAGAAGGGAAGGTCACTTCTGATAAGGTATCGTGGAGTCTTGAGTATCAAGAAGAGTGAAGGGAGGTTGCTGTAACGAACTTTTAAGATGGGACTTACACAGTTGTATGCGTCTTGCTCTCATTTCATTTGTGTCATGTCCCTAGACGTCCCTAGACCCCACTCCGTACAGCTACTAGTTGGGCAGGGAGGGAACCTTGGTTGCATCATCCAAGTAACTTTAATCGCTTGCGGGTCCGTTGAATGACGGCTCTTTTTAAAAACACTATAGTACATTGCTCACAGAGAATGCTAAATTCAGTCGCTACTGTGTGGTGGATTGTGAGTTTGCATGCATCAACGGTAAGGAATCATCTCTGCATGTATTGTATGAGTATTGTTACACTATCATCAAATTTTATTCTTTTAAGTTTGTGATGAGAAACTTTAGCAAAAAGTTAGTCATGGTACAATACTCTCTTTCTTTTTCTTTTTTCTTTTTTCGGCCTTAAAGAAAATATTCCAAAACTTTGTGTGTCCTGAATTGAAACACGAACTCCTAATATTACCCATGCAAACCCTGTCCCCAACCTTGTAGGCCTCCTCCTCCTCCTACTCTTTTCTATTCCCGGCCTTTTCAACTGAATCATTTTTTGATCCATGACAAAGAAAACTACATCCTTCATCTTTGCCACACATAATGGAAAATGTTGCATCGAGCCGACATCAGATTCACAATCAATTGAAAACATCATTTAATTAAATTATTAGAGTCACACAAACCTCATCTTTTTAAAATCACATTAACTCAAAATAACTATTACACACAAAAAATATATCACACTATTTACACAGTAAAAACTAATTATATTTCGTCGTATTGGTGGGCTTCAACTTTATTAGAGAGGTGGTACACAATGTGTTATAAAAATGTGGGAAGTGTAACATTACCCTTTTATTTTGGGTTTTGATATGGCAAGTGGGGTAAGTAAACAGAACAGTGGCAGTAGTGTAAATTACAAATGCAGTAGAGAAATGGTGGCCCCACCACACCCATCTTTTAATCTGGGCCCTCAGTTCCACACCACTTTGGAGATAGATTGGAACCTCTGCCAGCAAGAGCTGGCTCCTCCCCAAGTTGTCCCTAGCTCAAGGGCAAGTGGCTCTTGCAGACTGGCTTCTTCAACTCTTTCTAAAGTAAGTAAAGCAAAGAGGAAATATAAAGAATTTAAAGCATATATATAAATGATGATCACCATGATTATGTGGAGCCAATTGCATATTATTGATATTATTAATTGGCTTCTAACAGAATCCGGTTGGGTGAGAGGGACGGAGGTCGATCTCTTGGTCCAAGCACTCCGGTCTTGGACGTGCAACTGCCAGTAGGTTTGAGCCACCGCGTCCGGGTCCATTGACCCGTCCCCGAATGACGTCGTCCTCAGCGAAGCGGTCGAAGACGACGATTGACCCCCTCTAGGTTGGCCAATCACCCCGCCGATGATAACATGCGCTATGTGTACACCCAGCGGTTGAAACTCCATGGACAGGCACTGTGACAGTGCTCTCAACGCAAATTTTCCACAGCCTGAGAACCTCGCATATCACGTGTTGTTGCCATCAGGCATAAATTTCTTCGGCCACAGTAAGAAATTAAACTTCGAAAATCAATGTTGAAGTAGTTGTACTTACAGAGCGCAGAGTAGCCAGCAATGCCATTGAGTGAAGCTGAACACCCTGTAAACAAAATCGTCCCTTTTCCTCTTTCCACCATTCCCGGAAGAACCTTCAATTAATTTATCCCATATATTTAACATAGATGTTAATTTTATTACTGGACAATTTTGTCAGACTGTGAATATGAACCGTTAAATTAAGTTAGTTCTTACTTTTATGGTCTAATATAAATTTTCAGATCAGTTTATATTGCTCGCCTGTGAATTTGAACTACAGATTACGTCACTATGTTCGTACCTGTTGAGCACAGTGGAAGGCTCCGACAGAAGAGACGGCAAGGGACTTCTCGAAAGAGTCGAGGCGGATGTCGGTGAAGTTGGTGGGGTGCCAATTGGGGGGCTGCTGGCAGGCATTGTAGACCAGCACCTCCACAAAACCCAAAGACAAAACCCCTTCAAATGCCTCCCTCACGCTTCTAGACTCGGAGCAGTCGATCCGTATGGCAAAAACTTGGGCTTTTTCTTCCCTCGCGATCTCGTCTGCGAATTTCGAGAGTCTCCCAAGATCGCGGGCTAGAATAGCGACAGTATAGCCTTCGTGTGCGAACTTTCGGGCGATGGAGCGGCCCAGCTTCGGCCCGACGCCCACGATGGCGGCTATACCTCGCTGAGGAGCTGAGCTTGTTATGCTTCTCATCATCACTATAGCTTTAGGGTAGGAGAAGGAAGTGGAAATATGGTGGTGGGATATGTAAGAGTAGTGTGGCTTGGAAAGGGCTAGGATCTGCTACCTGACGCCTCAGTCCTTGCCTCTTTTCTGAGGCATAGTATTGTTGGCCCCGTCTTTTATAACCCAAGTCTCTCTAATTATGGTTCTATGCCTATAAAGCTTAATTAGTACGTTCAAAGTATGATTATACAAAATTATCGAAAAAATTTATATGGCATGTAGGTTTATGGTGTTTTACGAGACTGAGCTGGCTGGCTGTACAAAAAGCTTGCAGCAGTTTTACATGTCTGTCCCTTGTTAATCTCTGCATTCGTGTTCATAATATGTCCACTCATTTTGGGCTGGTACGGGTTTCTGTTTGAAGAAAAACTTTGTATTTTATCTTGAAACAGTTTTGAGTTTGGTTTGATCCTTGGTTGATCTTTCTCCTACTTTGCTCATAAAGTTTAAACTGTTTACTTATATAATTGAAGTTAATGTGGAATATATATATATATACACGTTCAGTTACCAATTAAATTCAAACTATATATTAGACAATTAAGACAGTTTAAGCTCAAACTTGAGTTGGGTTTAATCCTCATATTTAGTGCAGACTCAAAATTGGATCTATATTTGAAGACCCCTTCTAAAAACCGAGTTAAAACCGTGAAGTTCAATTGGGAAAAACACATTTGAGTCAAAGTTTAAGCAAACTCAAGCTTGACAAATTTGATTCTAGAAGAGCTTGAATACCTAGATACTCACTTTGACTCAACTCATTTGCACCTCATCTAATTTTACCTAAACTAAAAATTTATCTTCTCAATCGTTAAATTAGACGTCCATGTTTACGAATAATCGCACCACCTTTTATTCTTTGTCCATATATTCCAATGAAATTAAACAAATGCGGACATATAAGTTCTTTACTAATTATGCAACTGGAGAAGAAAAGAAAGAAGAAAAAAAAAAGAACTTGGCTTTCAGATAAGGACTCCAGCTACACTCTTTTTTTCCTTTTGGAGGGGAGAATGGAGGAGGAAGATACATCAAGATACCACGTACTCAAACCCAAAAAAGAGAAGAAAAAAAGAAAAGAAAAACGAAAAAAACAAAGAAAACGAAGAAGATACATGAAGATACTCTCTTAAATTCAATCATTAACTTGGGGACCGTACGAGGGGAGACCCTACTTAGCTTTTAGAATCTGTAAGCCTCAGTGCCTGTGAATGATGGATCAATGGCCCACTTTCCCAGTTGCAAAATCTTTCGTCCATGGATTCTCCTTCGCTGATTTGATTCAGTTTTTGATGATCTTCCTTTTCGGCTTTTTACAATATGGATTCATCAACTCCTCCACCCCCAATATATATATATATATATATATATATATATATGTGTGTGTGTGTGTGTGCGCGCATCATGCATGGGAAGCGTCATTTTCATAATAATCCTTACATGCAAAATATCACAGTGCTGTCATTTTCCTCACATTCTATCAAAGCATCAATATTCTCTTAGCAGCATGCTAAGAAAATCCTCCAAGTGATATGTATGGAGGGGAGTGTATAGAGATGAAGACAAGCAGAGTTTTGATGTAGCTCCAATTAAGAATTCAAGTTGTATGGCCCCTTCCCTTGTCTTTCAAACACTTGGGGTTGTGGATAAATATATGTGGATTGGAATTTGGAGGCAAAGAAAAGGGAACTGCTCTCTTAAATGACTTCACATGTTTTTTGTCACAGATTGTGGTGGTGGCAATCATGACTCATGAGGATTTGTTTGAAGAGATATTGCAAAGTTTGAAATTAAAAACCACCATGGAAATTCACGAGTAGCGATCAGTTTCAGGTTTTGAATGACTAAGATATGTTTTTTTTGTTTCTGATTTTTGTTTTGTTTTAAATGCAAATTGAAGGAACCCGTTTACGGTGTCAAAATTGAGTTATTAGCATTTAACACTAATATAACCCGTTTATTTCCATGAAAAACATATAAGCGGTTTATTTGTACTCACGTTGAGTTGTGTAAAATGATACTCAAGTCAAATTCACTACTTTCGTTGGCGAGTTCTATTGGTGTAATTTATTGGGGGGGTTAACTTTCAAGTACCCCTGAATTTGTACACTACTTTCAATTTGGACTCTCAACCTTTTTTTTGGAAAATTAAGTACACGAACTAATTTTTGTTGTCAATTCCCCCTATCGTCTAAATCTCAACATTTCATCCCAGACCCATCCCTCCCCCCTTTCTTAATTACAACAAAGGCAAAGGTGAAGTGGGTGGGCCTCTTTGTTTATTAAAATGATTTATTTATTTATTTTAGATTTCATATTATTTTATTTTATAGTGTTTAATTATTTTAATATATAAAATGACTAATTTGCCCTCATATTTAACGGCAAATTGGATGAAATGTTGAGATTTAGA